AGAAACAAATTCCCTGATACAAAAAGGACACAACATTGCTATACTTGAGAAAAAAAGGACAAAATATGCTGGCACATGCAGATCAATTCAGAAACGAACTGGATGACGTGGATATGGAAGATCAAGAACAAGAAGAGACAGAAAGTAACACAAGTGAAACAGAGCAGGAAATAGAAGATAGTAAGAAAAGACGGATGAGAGTGAAGAAGAAAATGAAGAGAGACTGAGATCATCATTAAAGAGAAAACAAAAAAGAAAGGAAGGACAACACAGTACGAAAATAATCAGGAATAGTAAAAGAAAAAACAAAGGTATATGATCTCTCCGATTCAGGGAAGTGTAGTATCGTATGCAAATGAGATAGACAAGTATAAATAGAGAACAACTGTTGAACATAGGGGCATTGCTTAGCAAACCCGTTTGCTAAACGTAACACGGAGAACTGTGCTATGACTGCTACTACACAGAGAGATATACCAAACATAACAGGACTGGTGACACAAAACAAAGTACAGTACCAAATAACAGAAACCACATCTCTTGAGGACTACTAACAGCAGCAACGACCAAAATGGATAACACATGCAACTCGAAGAGAAAATAATGCCATAATCAAGATGTTGACATTCCACACTACTTCAAACAAAATGTTAGGAAGGAAACCCCCACCAATCTGAAAAAAGCGATAACAGCTACTGGGCATGACGAACCTATTTGCCTGAAAAATTATTTTAAGAGAAAGATTTTATAAACTCCAACCGAAAGTACTCGCCGCTCGGTTAATTAAAGCCAAATGTTTCCTTGTAGAGAAACGGCTAATACTACGATTACCACTAGCATTTTATGATAACGCGACGATTCAATATAGTTTATTCGCGTTCTAAAACTGATGCGAATCTTGAATATTGTTTATTCGACTTGTAAGGTTGATACAAATATTCAGCACTGTCTGTTCGCATAATAAAGTTGGTGAGACTAAGCATCGATTTACGTAAAAAAATGTTCATTATCAAGTTTACTGTATTAAAAAAAAACTATTGTCAATAGGAAAATGTATGCTCGTTAAGGATGGGATGCTTCTCACACTGTGTTTATAATTGATGTGAAATAACTGTTACTTCGCTTTTCACAATACAGGTTTTCGCTTCGCTTTTGAATAATTTATCACATTTAATTTGTTACTATGAATAGACTTGTGAAAGCAGGTTTGAATATTCTTGGAATGTAATTACCTTTCTTTTAAAAATGTGTCAATTTTTCCAAATCACAAGTAACCATATGAATATTCAGTATACGTATTTACAAAGGTTTACCTTAATCGAGTACACAGGGTCTGCATAGAGTAAGTCAAGATTGCTTTTACCTAAGTTTCCTAGTGGGGGAGCACGCCTTGAAAATCAGCATTCTAAGTATTCCTACCAGCACCAGTGATAAAATGTGCAAATTCCTATACTAAAATAACATCCACCAATATCTGTCTATATTTCTGAGATGAGGTATTATGTACACTATTCAAATTGTTCGGACTATCGTCCTCATGTTTGTTGCCATATTTATCACAACGTTTCGGCCGTTGTACGCTCTGGACATCTTCCGGTGGTTTGAATGTCGAACTGAGCACTTTATTTCGCTCGCTGGAGTAGACTGTTCTAGTTCCACGTGCCATGTCTAATGGATGTCAGTTATCTCCTGTTAATTCCCCTCCCCAAGGTCTCCACCGCCTTAACCAGGTATTGAACTCATACTCTTTGGGTCCTGTTACTGGGTCTAACTAACGCCTTTATCGACTGTGCCATGTGTCCTTAAGGACATTTGTGTATGAATTTCTGGGTATTATAAACAGCAATCATTTTTTTACCAGTGCTCATAAAATATGTAACACGAGGGGAAGTGGAAAAATCAGGCGTGGCTGACCACATATGGAGAGAAAAGGGAAATCACCTCCCTCTGTGAGATTAGTTTGAAATCATAGACAAAGAACATCATTGGAAAATCCGTAAACTTAAGTACCTGGTTTTGAACATAGTGGGAGACATGCAATTCAACCACGAAGCAAGTTCCCTAAATATAAAATATACGTATTTATATTTACTAAAATTTGCGTAGTACGACAAAAACCCCAAAATGGGAAAGGAATAAAATTTAGCAATGATTAGAAGAAGTACTCGAACACCAGCCACTAGTACCAATGTAATTAACGTTGGTACTAATGGCTGATGTTCGAGTACTTATTTCCATTTCTCCAAACATAAAACTGTCCTCTTCATATGAATAGAGAATATACTTAATCAATGTTACCGTTTTTCTTCTTTTATGTGCTGTCCATGGCTCTCCACAGCGTTCTATCCTTTGTAACTCTAAGCAATGTTTCCCGCCTAACATTACTCTCGGGTACACGCGCTCTCTTTATAAGTTATTTGCTTTCAATGTGAGTGTCAAATGTCCACATATCCCAGATATTTCAACAGCCTCTTTCTTCAAGTGTTCTTTTACTTGTATTATTTACATTATTTAGACTGTTATCCTCATCTTGCCTTCTTCTTGTGATTGGAATTTCGAACTGAATCCTTTATATCGTCCACCTTTACCTCAACTCTCCAAGTTTTTTCTGTTTTTTTGCTGTGGCCTGGTATTAAACTCACTCTTTGGGTCTAGTCATGGGATCTAACCAATGTCTTTATCCACTGGGCCATGTACCCTTGAGGACATCTGTGTATGACTTATAAACATGTCTCAGCAACCAATTTTACCAGTGCTCGTATTGCAATTTTTCTGTTATTAATATTGCATTTTTTACGAGAGCTTATATTGCAATTTTGTTGTTATTCTTTGCTTTTCTCTAGTACTCCTTATTACTGGTTTCTACTCATTTCTATGCTTGGTCGGCTCAGGAGATTTTTTGTGGCCGACCATATGTGCTAATTCCTTAAGTTTTCGTATTTTCCAGTAATGCTCTCTCTGTCTGTTAATTCAACCTTATCCCACAGGGGGTGGTGATCTCCCTTTTCCCTCCATATGTGGTCAGCTACGCCTAATTTTTCTATTTCCTCTCGTGTTTGCGCTTTACGATGTTCTTGTAGTCTTACCTAAAGGGGCAGCTTGTTCCTCCCTTGTATTTCTTAGCACAGATGTACGGGATGGCGTACGCACAGACCTTAGTCCTGTTCTCCTCCCTGGGGAGGGGGTCTTACTCGGAAGAATTATAAAAACACAAGGAAAATTAAATAAAAAAAAAACTTAGCTTCTGTCCCTTGTCGGTTGTTTTTAATGAAACTTGAAATATATATATATATATATATATATATATATATATATATATATATATATGCATATCTTCATTCAAGCATGTTACATTGAATAATATAGGCATATTAAGTCTATTTATTTTTATAATAATCCTATCTAGTCCTCTAGTTTCTTGGTGTTAAGTTGAAATTCATCAAGGAAGGTGCCATAGTTTTTGTTAACCCAAGTACTTTTGATCTCCTCTGAGATCATCCTCAGCGGTGAATTGCGAAGACAAACTACTTGTTACTGTGATCGTTGTGATGGTGATTTTTGTAAACACGCATGAACGTGCTCTGTTATAATTATTTTAAATTCATCCGTTGGAATTATGGTGTTTTTGGCACGCCTTCCAATATAAGGGAGCCTAATCAGAGATGGTAAAAATGCAAAATAGCATTAAATGTTTGGTCAAAGGCATTTTAAAACAGTGCTACTACACTCGTAATAAATGTTGTTCAGTGTTGGTTTCTTGCTTTTGATATAGAGGGCCACGAGAATTTATAGTTTTTGCTTATTATTTTCATGATGTATATATACAGGGTGACTGAAAAGTAACTCCCTATTTTATGAATGATGGTCTCTCCAGTCTAACTATAATTTTTAAAGACGAGAGAGTTCATCATACATAAAATAGTGAGTTACTTTTCAATCACCCTATATATATATATATATATATATATATATATATATATATATATATATATATTCCTAAGGAAAGGTGTGAATCCTCTTCTTCTCCCTCCAGCTATGGGTAAAATAGCAGGACAGACTGGGTTCTATAGCCTTGGATGGCAACTGGTCTAGGAGAAGGACAACTCTGAATTCAAAACCTGCGGAGGGTTGTTTGGGAACCTTGTGGCAGGTAGTGCACCAGGTCTCTGTATTCAGCCCTTCAAAAGTGTGGATGGTCCTGCACGAAGCCTTCACCACTATAATCGAATCTCATGTGCCTGTGTCAGGCTGTCAGTTTCCTGATCTGCTTGACCCTCATACGTCGAACGCGACGGGAGAATCGATTATATATATATATATATATATATATATATATATATATATATATATATATATATATATATATTCGTCAGATTGAAATTTTTATATGTATGTCATGTATAGCGTCCAACTCGTTCAAAAATGTTTAAATTGTCAACTGAATACGACCGTTTTCTTAAACCATTGACTAAAATTGGCATCGTGTGGATAAACCCAGTAGGTATTAGGGAGGACCATCCCTCATCGAATCTTGTGGACTGGCGATACTTACCTGGCACAGAAGTTAACCATTGCCAATGAGGGTGTTTACTGATGCGTAGTTAACGTCCCTGTGCTGTAAGTGTTTTAATCCTGCAGCAGCACATTCCTCATTGCACTAAAGAGGTTGGGTCAGTGTAATGCCGATGCCAGCGTGACAGTGGTCGAGGCGAGCTAGGGAAAAATCAATTTTTGTCCTTGGCCTATATGCATATGTATGCGTATGGCACTCTCAGCGCTATCTTCCTGAAAAGCTGTTTTAAGAGAAAGATTTTATAAATTTCAACCGACATTAATGCTGACTGTTCGGTCAATGAATATCGAATGTTTCCTTATAAGGAAACGGCTAGTCATACCATTACTATATTAGCTAAGTACTTCGCAAATATAATAAGTTCTACCCGATCTATTAATGTTACTTTGGATCAGGACTAAGCTAAGCTTAATAAATAGCTACGGAATTAAATATGATAGATAGATAGATAGATAGATAGATAGATAGATAGATAGATAGATAGATAGATAGATAGGGAATAGTTTGAGAGCCCAGAAAAAATAAACAGATAAGTAATACTGGGTTTTTATTCAAAACATTCTATTTCTTATTATGCTCCGCATGAGGAGATAGACAAAATCTAAAATGAAACGTGAACCATCAACACGTGGATTGGGAGCATGCAAAACACACACACGCGCACACACACACGCGCACACACACACACACACACACACACACATATATATATATATATATATATATATATATATATATATATATATATATATATATATAATCGTGCTATGCAGGTTCCTGTACAATTGATATAAATATCTGAACTGATGCACAGGTGCTCCGCCGATTGTGAGTGAGTTTTGTTCTAACGTTTGTCAATATATGTTCATGTGTGAATGATTTTTGCGAGTTTGTCTTTCCCGAACGTTTGTGTGAATTGGCTGCACCTCTGCGCATGTGAACATGCCTACTTTTGACAGGATCAGATTCTAACAACACGTGATGCCATATAAAACGCTCGTCTGCTTCTCGCATATCTTCAATCATTTTTCCCAACTTGGCGGCAATAGTCTCATTAATAGCGTTCTATAAACAATAAAATCTCCTTACCTTTTATTTGTGATCTTTTAATTTTTCTTACACCTAAAAATGAACATCGTGGGTTCGTTCACATAGAAGATAATTTGCCTTATGAAGAAAAAAAGGAAAAAGTTGACATATAAATTAAGATCTATTGTTGCTTTCCCTCCGTGTGTAAATATGTTTGCGTGGGTATGCTGTTAAGTAAGTATATATGAGCTTATGTGAAATGTACAGTACATATTCGTAGTCGTGTATGCGTGAGAATGTCTAACCCTAAGCAAAAACAATATATCGTTATGTCAAACTTGTTGATCAGGATCGTGTTGATATATGACATAATCAATTTTCGTTAAATGATTTTAAAAGGAAATAATTGCACAGCATAGTTCATCCATACTGAAAAGTAATAAGGCAAATATAATCACTGCTCAATAGTCCTATACTAAGTCTGATTTCTTTAGTCATTTCATCCAAAGTAAGTCCATTAAGCTAATAGGACGCGAGAGGTTACTGAGTGTGAATGAATATGAGAGATATAAGCATTATTCATGAGAGAGAACAATAAAAGTACAGGAATTACGAAAATAGATGCCGATTGATATTGAATTTAAATTTTTGAAGATCAAATTTGACTGGGAAGCAAGAAGCCGGGAGAGAGTTCCACAAATGAGATGATGTTACTATCAGTGGCGGACTGGATCGAACATTTCTACCGGGAAAACTTGTAAAATGGCCCAGTCTAAAGGACCCACTTTTTAAAATCTGTATCACCCCAAGCAAAGCAGAATTGCCACTAACACGCAAGGCGTTACAAGAATTAAAAACAGAAACATTAATGAGCAGGGAGACAAAATAGTAATCGGGAGGACAGTAGATAGCGATTGACATTGCATTTAAATTTTTGCAGATTAAAGTTGGCTGGAAAGCATGGAACAGCAAGGGAGTCCCACATGCGAGAAGTGCGAGGAAAGAAACTATTAGCATAGAACTTACGGTTACATCTAGCCAGCTCAACTGTAAATCGATGAGATCTCGACGCCAGTCTAGTACTCCGCTTCTAGGTACCATAGCGAAGGGATCATCCGAACAATTACTATGAAAGTATTTCTAAAAAAAAAACACGGTGTGGTAACCTTACAGCAGTGGGTAAGTTACCGAAGCCGAGTCGCCAGATCAGAACCAATAATATTGCTGATTCTTTTTGGATCCTACCAAGGTAAACAGCAGGGTGCCGGACCATATATGGCAGCAATATTCTAAGTATGGACGAATGGTAGCTTTATAGACAGGCAAGATAGAGTCTGGAGAGAAAAATTATCTTTCCCGACACAGTGTACCGACTTTCTTAGCAAATGACCTAGCAATGGATTCAATATAGTCTTTCCACTTCATGTCAGCTGAGAGCATTAGCTCAAGAAGGCGAAACGAGCCACTTTCCTGGAGGTTAGCATCAGCCATGCTGATGGAAAGCAGCGAGGGCTTTCACGGATAATTAATGGAGAGAGGTTTAGTTTTGGAGTTGTTAAAATTGATGTCATCTTTTACCCCAGTTAACGACGGACTTGGGGTCGTTTTGAACATCGGCTGCCATTTTGACTTTGTCAGACTGATCAGCTTTCAAAACGTAGTCAAAAGAATCAAATTGAGGATATCTATTATCTACCGAAATAAATTATAGCATGAAAGAAGCCTTATTTAATCATCCCAGCATCTAGACAGTATTGTCTTTCTTTTTTTAATTTCTACTTTTTTCGGTTGTTTCTCTAACCATTGACTAAAATTGGCATCGTGTGGATAAACCCAGTAGGTATTAGGGAGGACCATCCCTCATCGAATCTTATTAATTTAATAAACAAAAGTTTGTTGACGTGAGATATATTTCAGGTAAATAATTTATGAAAAGGTGGAAATTTTATAGAAAAATTAACAGTCAACAACATTTGTTTCCTAATCAAATATTAACTACAAGTATATGTTAACATGGCGCCACTGGGCGAAGGACCTTATTGACGCAGGTCACTGGCCATGGCGGAAGTATTCCTAAGATGAACTACAACGGCCATATCCGCAACCTAGGCAAGCCACTTAGTTGAAGAACATTGACTGTGGTCTAACCTGGAGATGGATGGACTCCACCAGGTTAAAACACCCAGGACATGCCATGTGATGAGCACACCAAGAAACCATTCGTGGATTACCAGGCTCTGGCACACAACTGTGACATATGGAGGAGAATGATAGACAGCTCATCACATTAGCAGTTTAACGACTTCTTTCGGGGTTAAAGGTGAAAGAAGATACGTTTGGAGTAAACTTGATCCTTTACAAAACTTATGCTATGTTAGATTTTATTATGGAAGTTAATGTTTTCACAATAAAGTTGGTATTAAACAAGTGATGTTGGTAAAAGTTTCAGGATACACATAAATAAATATACAATGTGAATATATATTATATATAATAAACTTGGTGGTATGGAATTTTATTATGCAACTTGAAAATGGTACATCACATTGTAAGTAAATATATACAATAGCATAGTTATTGGTATATATTTTTAGTTTCAGATATATAAAGACTGCCTGAAGTTGTAAGAAAGATGTAAACTCAAAAAAAGTAGCAAGACATTGTAAAGTTATTGAGTAATGGAAACACAAGTTTAGAAATCAAATATAACAATTTAAAAAAAATAATTGATAACATTAACAAGATAAGAAGAAAAATGGCTTTAAAATATTTAAAAATAGTTTTTCCTGTCTCACGCATACACTATGTGCGATTCTATAATGCAATTCAATATTTTCACAATAAATTTGATATTAACCAATCGATAGTGGCTTTTCGATTTTCCTTGGGGTGAAATGATTTCTAAAAGTGTTAGCCTGAACATTATTTACCCTCTTCAGTGTTTCCTTCTATTTGACGATTATTGATTTCCAAGAAGGAAAGTATCCTTTGAAGATGACATTCTTATAGCTGGCCATTTGTATTTATTATAAACAGAGCATTTACGTAAATATTTGTATCTATAAATAAAAAAAAAGAATGTATAGACATAAAAATGTCTTAAAATAATTGTCGGATTTTGTCCATTTCATAATTGACATCTATGAATGTAACTCTATAATGATACAAATTATTAGCACCCAACACCCCCTCCTATTTAAACAATAGAGCGGCCGTTACCATGGAAATTTTGATTTCAATAATGATTATGCTATTAAAACACGTAAATTTCAGAAATAAGTTATTCCAAAAAAATTTCGCTTGAAGATGGTACAGAGCTTACTTTAATTCAATTTAATTCAAATAATTATATTAAAGTTTTCGGCTCTTGTTTTGAAACATGAGAACTCTTATGTAGCGTGTTGGAATCATATTTTTAAATAATTATATATATATATATATATATATATATATATATATATATATATATGTATGTATGTATGTATGTATGTATGTATAACAAAACGATACGCTATTATTTATGGGTATTGTGATTATATCATTTCAGATTTAAATATCTGCCTTAAAATGAAGCTAAATGCTCGGCATATATTTAATGCATTTCATAAAACTTAATCAGTATAGCCAGGTCTTGTTTGATGTCATTCTCAGAGAGACATTTATCCAGAAAAAGTTACACTCAAGATAACGACAGGAAACTGAAGTGATACTATTCCTGTAATTGCCTTCATAATATCGCTTTGTTGATAAGATAGCAAACACAAATATTTTTACTTGCTCTCCTTTTTGAAAAAGATTGTTTATAGTATTCCTGATCTTTCTGTTCAAGGAGATTACTTTCAATAAGTGAGGAAACCGATTTTTTACAATTGCGTAAAATCAAAAGACAAGCTCACTTTAAGATAAAAGAATCTAAGTCCTAGTAGCTGAGATATTTGTGCATATCTCACTGAAATATATTTTTTAAAAAAGGAGGATATTCAAATTTTCGGTGTTTTATTTAAACTCCAAGACTGGCGCCGGTTGGAAATATGCCACGCCCACTCACATGGCCGTCCATACGGTATTAACTAAGACTACTTTAGTCTAACACCAAGCTACACAGAAACAATGCGAGCTGAAAGATTGATTTATACCAATAATCTAAGTTGGGAAGTCAATCTTGGAAATCAGCATTCAAAATCCAGGGCTTTACGCGGGCTTGAACACTGTCTACTGGTAACAGTTGTTTTCTTTTGATACAGGACATTATTTGAAGATAATTATTATATAAACTTTTTATTACTTTTGTGGTCGCTTTTGCAAAGAACTCACAAGTCATCACAATGAAACACGTTTCATTTAATTCGTTATCTATTTATTTACTAGCAGTAAAGCCCAGAGTTGCCCGGGAGTAAACTTCCTCTGAATGGAAGGTCATAACCGCCATACTCACTTTGTACACGCATGTAAGGCTGAAATCTGCTAGAACTGATGGCCGCCCACGTAAAAAACGTAATGTACACAAGTTGTCGGTATTCATCAGCTCAACGGAAGAAAAAATTGTAAGGCTTAAAAGGAAGCAATGAACAGCCATGGTAGCATTCGTCATTACTAAGATAGCTCCAATTAAAAGTTGTCAAGCTCAATACGAACACAGGCCTTAGGAAGTTTTTGGCGAACCACATAACAGAAGTATGGGAAGGTGCCGGGGCGAGTAATTGTAAGTGGCACAAATTTTTTGTAGTTTTTAATGGCCAGTTGAGGCGAGCATGAAGCGCACGTAGCGTTACCTAAAGTAGCCTTTATGGTAAGGGGAGAAACACACCGACGGTGTACGGCAGAGAATGCATATTATAACTCTTCATGCTGCTATTCTTTTATTATCCCACTTCTTTTTGCGGAGGCCTGAATTTTTGGACGCACTCGACTTCTCTGATAATTAAACGAATCCACCTTCCCACGTATTGGTTTTGTGTTGCAACTGAATATGGTTACGTAGTTGACATGTAAGTGCGAATGCAGCTATGGTGTGGTTTAAGTGATAAGGGAAAATTTAGTGAGCAAGACAACCTTTAATAAAATGTCTTAGTAATGACGACCTTGAAATAAACCGCGTTCAAAAATGAAGGAACCTACGATACAGCTGACATAAAAATGTGTACATTGCATTTAAACGTGACCGACCATGGGCTATACGACTTCTGCGTAGGTAATATTTTTAACTTTGTTGGAGAGTAAACGTAAATGTTATCCTTACTCCCGACTCGGGAGCAGCCTATGTAAAACTGTCCATGGTCGAATCACTGTTCGCCTAAATGCGGACTCGCGACGCTGAGCGTCTGTCCTTGCGACGCTGAGCGTCTGTCCTTGCGACGCTGAGCGTCTGTCCTTGCGACGCTGAGCGTCTGTCCTTGCGACTTGGCCATTGTTGTTGAGCCGTGATCGCCGTACGCCAGGACTTTCTGAAGCTCTAGCAGACGCAATAGATCTGGAATTCCTCGAACGACGATTAGCGGTCTGCACAGGACTTTCTAAAGCTCTGGCAGACGCAGTAGCGCTGGCATTTCTTAAACGACGAACAGTGGTTTGTTGAGGTTGTTCCAAAACCCTGGAAGTTGCTGTAGCCCTAGCATACCTAAGACGACGTGAAGTGGTTTGTTCAGGGCTTTCTAAAGCTCTAGAACATACTGTAGCGCTGGCATTCTTTAAACGCCGAAGGATTGTCTGTGTTGGGAACTCGGAAGCCCTGGCCCTAGAAACACGTATTGCGTCCCGTGAATTCTGTACTAAATGCTCTTCAGTTGAAAGTCTAGATGGAGATGCGGACAGCAGAGCGTGGGGCCATCTGAGAAAGGCGCAACGAAGTTTGCTCTGTGGTTTCACTTGCCCTTGCTGCTCTTGTAGCGGAGGCAGCAGCCGTGCGTCGTCCAAGAAGCTTTCTTCTCTTAGGCGGCATTTTAACTAATTTTAAAAGAGCAAACGTAAAAAACGTAAAAAAAAAAGGTATGTAGGTTTTTTGAGTGCAAAAAATACGTGTAGTCTAAACGTAGGCAGGTTAGAAGGATCCCAAAAATGTATGTAACTGTATCAAAAGGGGATCGAAGACAAAAAAGTGAAGTAAACTAAAGCTAAAATGGTAGTAGGTAATTTGGGAAGTAAATTCGATAAACGCGGAAACGAATGTAGTTATAACTAAGAAGTAAAAAAAAACAGTTTGGATACGTAATCAACAACTTGCGGATTCCGTAAGAAGCGAATGAAGTGAGCCAAGTGCGGTACATTAATCGCAGAAGTGTGAACACGCGTGCGAGTTATGGTATAAAGAGGTGGTTGGCCGGTTGACCTTGAGCGCACATACTAAGGTGACGTACGTACGCACGTGCACGCACGGTCACGCGCGTGCGTAAGAGAACTGCTCACGCGTATGATTGGATGGGCCCAAGCTTGCAACCGTGCCAATGAGCTCACAGCAACCTTGAACAGTTGACGCGATTGGTTAACCTCCATCTGGGTTAGTCAAAGCAGTGCACAGTGGCGGGTAACGTTTCAAAATAATGTCTTTATTGTATCGGGTATTTTATTGATAAATATGAAAGCTATGTAGTTCCTTATCCCAAAATAGACATTACCTTTTTGATTTACGTCATCACCGATGTAGCGCAATCTCTCAAAGTCAGCCAATCAGAAAATGGAATTTTCAAGCTGCATTTTTCTTTGAAAATTTTGAGCAGCCAGGAGATATGAGGTAGTTTTATTGATCAAAAGTTGAAAATACAAGCGTTTTTACACTTCTTGCAAACAAAATTTGGAGCAATGTTAATTTCGTTTACTGATGGATGATGAAGGCATTTAAGTAGCACAAATTTAGACGAAAACGTGCGAGAATTTTTTGAACAGCGATGCGCAGTAGTAACATTATAGAAAGTAGGTGCCTTTAGCTAAATGTAAACGGCATAAAAAAGACATTAACAGTCCCCCGGTGTCCCCTCGAATGAAAAAATGCAATTAAATGTGAAAAATTGGACAAATTGGACAATTGGGGGGAGGCAATTCTGTCCACTTGGCTTAAAAGTGGTGGTGTGAAGTGGCATGAAATGTTTTAGTGGTTGCTCACTGAATTCAATACTAGGCTTTAGTAGGCTAAATGGGCTACAAACACCTAAAAAGCAGCAGTTTCACCTTGTTTTTACTGATTTTTCTGGTAAAATTTGACATGTAGCTCTGTAAATCCCTTTTAAAATGGCCTTGACGTTTACTTTACTGTGCAAATGCAGAAACCATGGAAAGTAATGCATGCCTGCATTGAAACATTAAAAGATCCTTTTTTAAAACCCTTGTATGAGTAATAAATCCTGAAATAAAAGTAGGCTACCTGAAACCTCTACCTCAATTGGGATGCTTGAAGCGTGCACGCGTGACACCCCCTCCTCGTTCACACATGATCTTGCATGACCCCGGAGCATGAATGGGCCAATCAGCAGCAAGCATTACGCATCGCGCGAGCCACATGTGACTAATAACACTAATCTGATTAGCTTTTGGAGCGCAAAGTTCGACTGCGACAGAAATCCTTCATTGTGATAACTTTTGCATCCGAAACCAAAATATGGCCATTCTTGTCCTTTTTTATTCCCATATAAGCACTTAAATCCTACTTTTTTCTAATTATACTACTGCTATTAATTCTAACATGAAAAGTGTCCATATCTGCTTGTATGCAGTGAACGCACATAATTACACACGCGTGCGTCCGATCAAAAATGAAAAATCGATAATATTGATTTAAATATTGATTTTTGGCGCCGTCAAAACCTCTGCAGGATCATTAGCAGTAACTGTGTCAAATTTGGTTGAAATCGGTTGATAAATGTAGGAGATCCGATGAAACATTAACGAACACATAGACACATTCTGCCTTTTATAGATGTATATAGATTTATACTAATTCATATATTATTCATTTGAATCAGTCAAAACTCAGAAAATTGCAAAGTTTTTTTTAATTCTAGGATCAATAAAAAAAATCATATTTTAAATATTTTTTCGAACAATTTAAAATATTCATGAAAATTATATCTATAACCCCATGAAACTTAGAAGCGTTTTTATGTCGGGGAACGCATGTACCTGACGACCTCGAGTTAATGCATAGCGGAATAGGATAAGGAAGACTTATCAAAGGAAGAAAAACTGCTAAGGGCCACAAGGGATGGGAAGTCGTGGAGAGCCATGATCCTGAAAAGATGCGGCACATAGAGGAAGAAAGACCACCTGTACTATGTGACCCAAGCGTAGAACAAATAATAATCTTGACTGCGGTCGACCAATGAATGTATCGATTGATTATTATTATTATTATTATTGATATTATTATTATTATTATTATTGATATTTGTGTGCGCTATGTTTCCTACTTTGCATCCTGTAGAGCCTTAGGCCTATATAGGAAAACTGTTATTGATAGCACTTAAGTCCTATAGGAAAATTGTTATTTAATTGACAGCCCTTTTCTTAGTATATGAGATGTTCCTAAAAGGGCCATCTTCTGGGCAACTTGTATGTTGATGTTACCTGGGACATTGTTACTGAAATTGTTCATTCCTTTTCTCACGAGGTCCAGAGCACCGATTACTATTGGTACAGTCTCAGTCTTCATTCCTCCACATCCTGTTAATCTCGATCTCCAGGTCCTTGTATTTGGACAATTTCTCGATAATTTTCATGGAGGTGATTCTCTCATATAGTATTATGTCAATAAGCACACACTTCCTGAATTTCTAGTCTTTTATGATAATATCAGGTCTGTTGACTTTTATTTCCCTGACAGTTTGAAGTGGCATATCCCAGAGGATAGTTACATCGTTATTTTGGGTAACTGTGTCTGGATGGTGCTCATACCATCACTCAGTGGTTTCGATTTTGTGCTTCTTGCATATCTTCCAGTTCACATATGTCGCTACCTTGTTATGCCTGTGGGTATATTCATTTTTTTGCCAGTTTCTTCTTATTATTATTATTGTTGTTGTTATTGTTATCATTATTATTACGACCTGTAACGTTCAAATGTCTACGCTCACACATGGAAACATGTACACAAATACAAAGATACACGGACACACAGGCACACAAATATACACACGCACAGTTTTATTATATTAAAGCCCCAAATATGGTAGATGCAATGAACATCGAACGTGCAACTTTTTTTTTCATTTTCTTTTTTTAGGAAATAAATCTTTTTTTTATTGTTACATTCTTTCAGGTCGTATGTGAACATCGCTTTCTTGTTCTTTCTCACTTCCTGCCCAGTGATTCTCTAAGTAACCTTTAACCTTTACCGTCCCACTTTGCCCCTGTTCTGATAGCCATTTGCTCGTTAAGTAGCTTTCTCGCTTTTTTGCTTCCTCTGCTTCTCTTACCATCATTATTTCCTGTAAGTGTTAAAATCTCCAAGCCTTCTTTTCTTATTATGTGTTTCAGAAATTCCAGCTGTCTCTTTCTGATTGCAAGTTTCAATTTCCTTGTAATTCCTTAAAACTTCCTCGTTGCTCACATACTCCATGTTATTCTCAGCATTCGTCGGTAGAACCACCAGCGCTGCTCGATTTTATTCTTCATCTCTGAGGAAAATGTCCAACATTCCCTGATATGTAGAAGAATAGATATTACATAGCAGTTCAGTACTGATTTTTTGGTTTCTATAGGTATTTTCCTATTTCTTAAAGACCTGGGTATGACGATAAACTACATCCGGCACTAAATCCTCTGATCGAGAGATTTTCAGGAGCGTAGGACCGCATCTTAATTGCTGTTGTTCGGGTGGTAGCACCCGTTAGGGTACCAGCTATAAGCAAATAGTGAACCTCCAAACAAAAACAATAACCTATGAAATTATAAAAATACATTTTTATAGTAAAAAATACCAGCAATACATTTTTATATAAAAAAAATTACTAACAATATTGTTTATAGCAAAATATATAGCAACAATACTTTTTATTTGTAGCTGAAGGCATACAATTGCTTTCAAAATATAGATATGCTACTAGACAAAAACAGCCAACCAAGCGACATGAAAGAACTTTTTCATTATATTATTCCATATAATATACTACAATTTCTGAAAGAAATCAAACTGTATTAAAAAATATAACTTCAACAAAACTACAACATAAACCTCACCTCTATTAATTATGTCCACACAAACATGTATATACACAAAAGCTGAGCATCATCTACCATGTATTCAATTGTGAAAGCAGAATAACATTTATTATATTTCTATTACCTCCAAGCTCACAAGAAAATTAAACTTCGGCATTAAATGACCCATAATGAGTTGATATGCTGTTTAACAAACAAATCAAATCAAATCCTATCTCTTAATATTCTGCACAGTTTCTAGAAGGCATCTTTCGATATTACTCTGGATTCCTCCCAGTTTCCACCGTCCTACTCTACCCAGATACTTACATTTCTGTACCTGTTTGATTTGGACGTCCCCAATGCACAGCTTACATATTTGACAGTCTCTTTCGCTGATAACCATGCATTCTGTCTTCTTAAGTTGATAGTCTTTTCTATCTCACTTTCCATTGCGGCTTTGTCTAAGAGTACTTTCATTGTTTTCTTTCTCAATCTGACGTCAATAGTGTCATCCATATATCTCATTTTGTTAAAATCATGGCTCCCATTAAAAATAATTCCGCTAGGCCTTCTCGTTCTATTCTGATCATCTTGTGTCGCAGTCCAGCGCTAATATATGACGTTCACTGGTCGCGACGTCAATATATGACACTGCGCCGTCGGACCGTGGTCAACTCCCACTTGCGGCGCGAATCTGTAAGGTTTCTTCCACCAGCGTTTTGGGGTTGACTCCTTGTCGCTGCCACCAGCCTGTGTCCCGGTCGATCTGGTCGTTTCCGGTCGATACCAGCTTTGTCATTCTCAGCTCGCCTCCAACGCTTGGTCACCAAAGTAACTGCTTTGATCTCAAGTCTAACCTACTCACGTTGTGACTTTGATCTTAGGTAGACGAAATCAATCAGGCATCGGGCCGTAGTGCAAGCTGAATCCGGGATAAAGGTGATACCGCACAAGCGTAAGTAAAAGAAAAAAATAATAAAACAAACTTACGAGGTTCAAATATGTTGAGAAATAACAATTAACTTTATCTATCTGTTGAATACAGGAGTGTGTTTCTCTCCCGGCCCGTTTCTATGGATTCGTGACACTTTTTGCGTTTCTTAAGCGAGTCATGGTATCTTAAGTCGTTCGTCAATAAAAACTTGCTTTTGGTAGGAAGAATAAGTCGAAAAGGACGTGGAAATCTTTCGGTCAACTCCTGCGAGGCTGGTCTACAACTGCAACTCCGAACTCTCTTGAAACTCTGCCGAAAAAATTCGCTGCCTCGAGACGTTTGTTTATATGAACACCGACCAACTCCGGGTTGGGGCCTGTCGTGATTTGGGTTCTTTGACAATTCCTAATTCCCAACAAAATTCTCT